TCACCTTCTTGGGAGCCTTGAACATAGAGAAATAGTAAGTGCCCAAGCTGCCCAACACCGATTTACAAAGGCATAGCCTACCACCCAACGAAAGATGTCTCGCTTTCCAAACCGAGAGGCGGGACTTAAACTTTTCGATGATGGGTTGCCAGCTTGCTGCAGACGACATTTTACCTCCTACAGGGAGCCCCAGGTATAAAAAAGGGATTGATTCCTCCTTGCACTTGATCCATCGGGCCATGCTTGAGATCTCATCCTTACCAACCGAGACGCCAGTGAGACGACTTTTGCTCATATTAATTTTGAGGCCGGAACTAACTTCAAAACATTTAAGAATACTTATCAGGTTTTTTGCGTTATCAGCCGCCCATTCTCCAATAAAAATGGCATCATCCGCATATTGCAGAATAGACACCTCTTCCATCTGATTATCCAAATGAACCCCTTTGAAAAGCGCTTTCCTCTGTGCTTCTTTCATGATGACATTAAGACCTTCCGCCGCCAGAATAAAGAGGAAAGGAGCAAGGGGATCTCCTTGTCGAACGCCTCTGCCCATCTTGAATTCTTTTGAAGGGGAGCCATTAATTAGAACCGAAACTTTAGGCGTACAAATACATCCTCTCATCCACGCTCTCCATTTTTCACCAAATCCCATCTGCAAGAGGACATTATCAAGATAATTCCAATTAAGAGTATCAAAGGCTTTAGCAAAATCAACTTTGRAGATGAGCAGTTTTTTTCTAATTCGCTTGGCCCAAGCAATTAACTCGTTAACGATTACCGGACCATCGAGAATGCTACGCCCTTTGATAAAAGCCGTCTGCGAGTTACTCACCACCGAACCAATCACACCTTTCAGCCTTTCCGCAAGGATTTTCGAGATCACTTTGCTTACACACCCAATTAAGTTTATTGGACGATAATCCGCAAAGGACAGAGGATCCCTTGCTTTCGGCACAAGGGATATAAAAGAGGAATTGCTACCCGGGTTTATAAAATTATTCCCTTCGAAGAACAAAACCGCTTCCGTAAAATCCTTACCTAGCAAGTTCCAGAATTTACGAATGAACTCAAAAGTAAAACCATCCGGACCTGGAGCCTTATTATTACCACAAGACCAAACCGCACTTCTGATCTCGTCCGCCGAAAATGGAGCTTCAAGCCAAACCCTTTGAGAGTCCGAATTTTTTTTAAAAAACTGACTGCTAATTGTAGGCCTAATCGGGAAACGCTCCTTAAATTTGTTACTGAAGAAATTATGAGCAGCATCCTTTATTTTTTCCGGGCAAGAGGTCCAAGAACCATTTATATTCATACCATTAATCCGAGAGCTTTTACGTCTACTATTTAGTAGACCATGAAAAAAGCTAGTATTCTCGTCACCAACCGCAATCCACCGAGATTTGGCCTTTTGCTTAAGATCTCTAACTTGATTGGCCACTAAATCATTTAATTGAGTCAAGAGATTCACTCTTTCATTCACCATATTCGGATCTAGCGCGCCTGTTTCCGCAAGAAGATCGATCGCAGCAATTTTCCTCTTGAGATTCTCACAATCCGCTTTAACATCCCTGGAAACACCTTTTCTCCATTCTTTAATACACGACTTGAGATAACGGAGCTTTCTGGACAGTCTCTCTATCTTCGAGAAAACTTCTAACTCCGGGCTAGACCTATTCCAACTTTTTTCCACCACCTCTTGCAAGTCTTTGTCAGAGAGCCACGAATTGAAAATTTTGAACGGGATAGGCCCACCATCAATACTTCTAGGGTCCAAAATAATAGGGCAATGATCTGAAAAGATTCTAGGGAGGGCCAGAGCATTTGACATAGGCCACAAGTTAACAAATTCCGCGCTAACCAGGAAACGATCCAGCTTGCTTAGCTTAGAACAATCTTTGCTCATCCACGTAAACTTACGCCCACCAAGACGAATATCTATAAGACCTGCAGACGCAATAAAATCATTAAAGAATCTTGCTCCAATAGGATCAAAATTCGAGCCTTTTCGTTCCTCAGCCGCCCGAACTTCATTGAAGTCCCCACAAATTACCCAAGCTAAACGCGGAGCCTTTCTTATTGTTCCCAACAGCTCCTCCCAAAGAAGCTTTTTGTTTTGAAAGTCTTGTGGCGCATAAACATTTATCACCCCAAGATCAACCTGTGAACTAAGCCACTTTCCAACGACCACAATAAACCTATCTTTCTTCTCCACATCCAAAGCTTGAAACATAGAATCATTCCAAATCGTAAGAAGACCGGACGACCTGCCAACCGGATCAATAGAAGCGAACTTAAAATGATTTCCGCCCCACACCGAAGCAACTTGCCACACATGCTGAACAACCATTTTCGATTCTTGCAGACAAAGAAAACTAATCTTGTGATCTCGCCCCACACTTTTTATCCAATTCCTCTTCTCCTCCTTCCCCATCCCATTCAAATTCCAGGACAGGATTTTTAACATAAAATCTCTCCTTCTCCATTGCCGAGAATGTCATCCAGGATTTCTAAATTATTATCCATCTCAATACCAATTTCTTTACCAACTCTAACCAAATTATTAATATCCAGAAATCGGCTATTTTCTGAAGGTGGAAGAGAATCAAACTTACCTGGCGAGACCGCAGCAGCTCGGATTCGACGATTGGAGTTTCTGATCAAAAGTTCAGAATCTGAAGATTCATGCTGATTTCGGTCACACACAAAACTATCTCCTACCGTCCCTCCTATTGCAGCATCATGCTTGCAGGAAAGTCCCCTTTTTCTCCGATAGCAGTTGCAAGGGCTTTTGACCTTTTTCATTTTTTTTTACGTCTATTCCGCTTAACCACAGCATCAAGTTTGGAATGAAGAAACCATTCCTCAATTGATTCATTTTTCGATAGATCCAAGCCATCTCCTTCCACTTCACTTCCTTCCTCGGCATCGACAACGGGATCAGCCTCCACAAGAGGCGTATCCTTTAGAGAGACCAGACTTGGCCCATCTTTAGGAGAAGAGAAAAATTGATGGCAAGGAGGCCCAAAACCTGAATTTAAACCAACACTAGGCCCATCAGTGGGGGGGATTAGATTTTTATGGCCCAACAAAAATAATTTACCATCCTGTTTAGAGCACCCAGAAACATCAAAAGTCTCCTTGAGATTCACACCCTTATCATAATTTGACTCCAATTCACGAAGGTCCCCATCAAAATAATCACCGTTAGCCTTCCTCGACAACTGGTCCTGCAATAACATTTCCTTATCATGCTGCCGACTTGGGGACTTTTCAGCTTCGCGCCTTATCGCTGACACCGAATCTGGAACTCCATCCACCGGCGAATTCCATTCCGGCGAGTTATAGGCAAAAACCGGCGATCCACCACCCGCTCCTATAACCGATTTTTGATCCTCACTATCATTGAGAAGGCTAGCTACCGATCCAGCTTCTAGAATTTCGCCCCACTCTGGTCCATCCCATAACTTTTCGATAACTCTGATCTTATAACTGAACCTTCCGATGACAACCGTCACCGTGTCCCTTATCCATCCCATCGACTCCGTCAGGACATCCACGAATCCGTGAGTCCTACAGAGGTCCCTCTCATCAAGTCTCTCAAAATTCACGACTTTTCCCCAAAGGCTCCCGACTTTACATAAGGACCCAGAATCCCAAGCCTGAATCGGAAGACCCTGAATTTCAAGTCTAGCGATACGATTTACCACCTGGAAATCCGCATTCCAGCTTCGCAAGAAAACAAACCAGTCTTTCCAGATAGCTGAAGCCTTATCGCAGAAACCTCGTGCGCAATCACTTGAGGCAAACTCTAACATCACGGACAAACCCCCCAGATAGATAACTCGAATACCATCCCAACCTTCCGACTTCGACAAAGAACCAATCATCTTGAGGGAGTCAAAACTTTTCAATTCCCCGATTAAGGCGGACTCCAACCTGGTCAGAATTTCTTCCGACGGGAACAGCTCCAAAGCTTCCTTTTTCTTAACAACATCCTCAACATCCAACTCATTCTGAGATGGCTCTGTGCCACGACCATTCCCGCATACTGCTTCCGCAAACGATTTGTCCCCCCTAATGAACCGAACCTTCGAGGTCGAGCGCGCTGCAGCTATCCCGACAGGGACTTTTGCTGCCGCCTTTGCACCATTATTCCTACTGAACCGAGCGAGATTGGCCCTAATCTTGTAAGAGCCTAACCACATCTTGTTGAGGTTCTCTTCCATCCTCCTCCAATCTTCAACCTTGATAAACCTCACAAAACCGAACCGTTTACCCTGATCGTTCCTTTTTCTGGCCACGTACAAATCTACCAACAACCCATGCTTTTTGAATTCTCGCCATAAACTTTGCTCCGAGACCTTCTCCGGGAAATTTGTGAAGAAGAAAGATGTTGCTGCACCTCTCAAGGAGTCGCTTCCTAGAGGAGAGAAACCCATATTGACTCTTCTACAGAAAGTGAACTTATGATTTCGAAGATCTCTAAGATTATGATCAAATCTGTAGAATTGTGTACATCTGTTATTTACGATAGAGATCATGTTTTTCATGCTCTTTATCATCTCTGTAACTATTTRTACCCGTCTTCATTACGTAATGAAATACACAATAGAGTAATGGCTTTGGAAACTCATATATTAACCTTTTCACACATAAATAGATCAATATATAGAAGAACACACATACTSTACTATTAGATTTTGTAAAGTAGTTTAGCTTATAAGATTATTTACTTTATGGGGGTGCTTGATATTGCTTATAAAAACAACTTATTGACTTATTCCGGTGTGACACCGGTAATAAACACTTTTAAGTGTTTGGATAAACAATTTATRTCGGTGTCAAACCGGTAATAAGGAGTTTTTGAAAAAATTAAACTTATAATAAGTTGATAAATGCTTTTTCAAAAAAGCATAAGTTGTTTCGAATAAGCAATCCCAAACAGCCCCTAAGTATATTGCAGGATGCGGAACTAGCTTATTGGGAAAAAACAATTAATGGGTATATTTTGCTTTTCAGTTGAACAAATGGGAATAAAAGAGTTTATGCCAGCATATCTTGATCCATCCCTTGACGATAAAGAGCTTCTAACTGGTGTAAGCTTTGCTTCTGGTGGCTCAGGATTTGATCCCCAAACTCCCAAGTTATTGGTAATTGCCATATGCACACCCTTTTCAATTTGTTTCGAGACCCAAAAAAGCTTACAAGAAGACGAGTACTTGAAGGGGTGAATCSKGTTGACACACYSCTYWGCAACCGGCCAAACAGAAATCTGAACTYRATATCTTCAGAATATCCTACCTTATTTCAGTTRCTAGTTTTAYATCAATTCAACAATACCATATTTTGTTAGTATCCATGATTTTGATTTTGAGGTAAATCTTTTGTATCAGGGGGTTTTGTCATTTACGGACCAGCTAGAACAATTCAAGGAATACATTGAGAAGCTTAAGGGTATGGTTGGGGAAGAAAGAACACAGTACATATTAGCAAATAGCATATTCTTGGTTGTTGCAGGTAGCGACGATCTTGCTAATACTTACTTCACTATCGGCATAAGGAGACTACAATAYGATATCGCCTCCTACAGTAATCTAATGGTATCTTCAGCTTCCAACTTCATAAAGGTAATGTTTAATTTCAGTTTCTTATGGTTTGTGTCCATGTGTTTTTTTGATTGTATGTCTAGTGAAATTTGAAACTGTAACCTCATTTGGCCTTCTCAAGGTTTTCTAGGATCAACGTGCGGTCGTGAACTGTCACATAGTTTTCCATTCAAAGTTATATTGTGACATAAAGCTGTTATAATCAACACCTTTGAATTACATTAATTGAAGGATATATACAAACTTGGAGCAAGAAGAATAGGGGTCTTCAATGCAGCCCCAATAGGGTGTTTGCCATCACAAAGAACTCTTAGTGGCAATGTGCATGGAAYGTGTGCAGAAAAGTACAACAAAGCAGCACAGTTATATAACAGCAAGTTGCAGGCAGAACTTAAATATCTTCATAGCACTCTCGATGGATCGAGGGTCGTCAAYATTGACATATACAAGCCTTTGCTTGCGATCATCGAAAACCCTCAACAATATGGTACTTGATACGTTTGGATTGTACGTCGTAATCATCTGTTTTAGGTTTGAATTTGATTTGTTAGTCTGACAAGTTCATTCTCTCATACTTCAGGACTAGAAGTTGTGGATAGAGGCTGTTGTGGCACAGGAAACATAGAGGTTGCCATTTTATGCAACCGATTGCTCCCAACATGTCTTGATGATTCAAAATACCTGTTCTGGGACAGTTATCACCCTACAGAGAAAGGATACAACATCCTCAWAAATGAAGTGGTAAAACGACATGCTCATGAGTTCTTTTGAGTTCATATGGAGGTTAACAARTATTTGTRATGTAAAAAGTTTGTGTGCAAGCTCGTTTCTTGATGTTTTGGATACTTTTCGAATGATGTATATGTCATGTAAACCCCCTTTTGTACCCATTTCTTATATTTTAACAATAATACATATAGCCTCAACCTCTTTTCCAAAATAGTGTTGGATTATCCTTTTGGCTCCTACTTATTCAAATAGAAATCATTATAAATTTAACCAAAATAGTGTTGGATTATTCAAACTAGTGACCTACGGGGAAGGAGCCCCAAAAAATAGACCTCATTTKATATAACAATAATATGCTATGATTTAATRGTCACTAACGTCCACTGCCACCACCATCACTGACAGCGCCACCAYTGACCACCTCACCACYATCAGCTACCACTATCACCAYTTACCACGACCTCCATCTCCTTCACAACCACATCTCCATTTCCATATCCACAATTGTCGGCACAAAMCACCATTACTATCAACCACCTMYACCTTCTCCACAACCATTACATCTACCTCCATATTCACTACTACCGACCGCCACCACAACCGGCACCTCCACCTTCATCTTCACCATTGTCAGCCAGCGACCACCAACTACTAGAAAACTGAGTATTTCCGACTGAAAAATCCGTCGGAAAATTATTGGCGGATTTTCGACGGACAACTAAAAAGTCAACTTTTGTTGACTTCCATCGGTAAATATATTYCGACACTGATTAAAATAAGTTACCGGCGGATTTTTGRTTAATTTTTTTAAATTAACGTCCACCAGTAATCCGCCGAAAAATAATTAAAAACTCAAATTTATTATTTTAAATTTTCGGCGGATGCCGGTAATTTAAAATAATAAATTATTCAAAATTCAAAAAAAAAATTTATTGGTTTCCGACGGACAACTTTCCAGCAGATTTTTATATTCTTTTTTTTTTTTTTTTCATTTTTCATACTTTTGGTTTTATATATATGTAAAATAATGCATATATTTCACATGAAATGTATAATGGATAATAATTCTCTTATCGATTCCAACACACACATACATGTATGCAAAACATATCTATATACAAACACATTATCCGATGTCATTGTTATTATTGGACTTTAAAAACTATTAACAAGTCTATTTGGGTTTAACAGGTATTAGTTGAGCCCAATGCACACCACATGCTTATATGCAATACATGTTTTCTCACAAACACGCGCGTATTACGCTTTAATGAATGTTAGTTGGACTTTAATGGTTATATTGTGCTTTTATGGTTCTTATTGATTTTTTACACGATCTATTGGGCATTAATAGATATATTGTGGTTTATTTGGTCGTATTGGGCTTTAGTTGACTATTGGACTTTAATTGATCTATTGGGCTTTCATGAATGCTATTTGAGTTTTAATGGATATATCGGGCTTTATTTGATTGTATTGAGCTTCAATGGATCTATTGGGTTTTTTTTGAAATATATAATAATTATATATGACAAATGCAACAAATAAACTCACACATCCTCCTCACTTTTGGTTAAGTTTGAACCCCTGACCTCTTAGGAGGCTAAGGACTACAATACTGTTAGGACAAAGACGATTTGGTAGGATCTATTGAGTTTTAATGGATCTATTGAGCTTCAATGGATGTTAGTTGGGTTTTAACAGTTCTATTGAGCTTTAGTAGATGTTAGATGGGCATTAACGATTCTATTGGTCAATTTTTGACTTTAATTGATCTATTATGCTTTAATTGGTCATATTGGTCATTTATGATGTTAGTTGGACTTTAATGGATCTATTGGGGTTCAACTGATGTTAGTTGACTTTAACGGTTCTATTAGGCATTAATGGATGTTAGTCGGGCTTTAACGGTTCTATTAGGTTTTAATAGATGTTAGTTAGGCATGAACGGTTTTATTTAATGGATATATTGGGCTTTATTTGATCGTAGTGGGATTCAATAGATCTATCGGGCTTCAATAGATCTATTGGGCTTTGATGGCTCTATTGAGCTTCAATAGATGTTAGATGAGATTTAATGGTTCTATTGGGCTTTAATGTATATATTGGTCTTTATTTAGTTGCATTTGGCTTTAATGGATGTTAGTTAGGCTTTAATGAATCTATTCGACTTTAATTGGTCGTATCAGTTTTAATGGTGGAAGAATGATGAAGAAGATGAAGATCTTGGATTTAAGCCTACAAGACTTAAATATCTAGTTGCAAGCTTTAGATGCTCTTGAATAAATCGATTTGGAGGAGGAATGTTCTTGGATCAAAAACGAGAGAGAGAGAGAGAGAGAGGTGAGTTGGTGAAGAATAAGTGAAGAAAATCGGATTTAGAGGGGCTGCAAGCCCAACAACTTTTTTGTCCAGATGCTCACGACCACGAGCAAAATAGTTGCGCGGACGCGAGCAGTGTATAAATATAGTTTTGCCCACTTTTTGGGGTTTGCTCGCGGGCTCGAGCAAAATAGCTGCACGTGCACGAGCAGTGCAATCTTCGACCAAAAGTTGGTTTTTTTTGCCAAATACGATAACCAACTCAACCAACATTCACGATACTTCTAAATGGCTATATTAAAGCCAAAATACATACAAAACTTGAAATTATGGATACTAAAAATCCGGGTGTTACACTTTTGTTGCTGTCATCGACGATGACGATGTATTGATCATATATCGCAAGCGCTTTTTGCTAATCACCATATTACCATTCCTTTAAAAATATTGATCATTTGATCCAAGGGCCAGGATCATTCTCTATTTCTCATACATTTAACACTTCTCATTGGAACATTTTCCTATATATTTACACATTAACACACTCATTATGTATACATTAACATTACACATACATGTATACATATATACAATACATATATACATGCATGTATCCATGGTGATATTCATAAACACTCATATATATACATGTATGATGTATCTATTATGATATATCATATACGCATATACATATAGACACACATTCATGCATATATACGCATAGACACACATACATGCACATATACAAATAAACACATACAAACATAGACATACAAGCACACATATACATATGTATCCCCATATACACACACGCACACAAGCATATATACATATATACAACACATAATATGTGATTATCAAACAAAACAATCATTATGTATACATTAACACATACACATGCATATATACATATATACATGCATGTATCCATCATGATATATCATATACATTCACATATATGGTAGAGTAAGTCTACTTAGTGAACTGGCAGGATGCGAAGATCGATTGATGAATATTATATACATGTATCCTTTGATATATCATATACGCATATACATGCATATATACTTATAGACACACATACATGCACATATACATATAGTCACACATACATGCACATATGCGTATAGGCACATACATACATAGACATACAAGCACACATATACATATGTATCCCCATACATGGATACATATACTATAACATATGTATACATATAACACATACACATTCACATTTATATATATTACACGGACCGATAGATACATATAACAATACATATGAAAAACCAAGAAAAATAAATATTCCGACGCTAATTAGCGACAGGCACACAAATTTTCATTTTCACTTTTTTTGTAAATTGAATTTCATGGATTCCACTGCTAATTCGTCACTAATTAGCTGCGAATATGTGTTCGTCGCTAATTAGCGACAAATTTATGAGGGATTGTGTTTGTCGTCATTTTGTCGCTAAGTCGTCGCTAATTAGCGACGAAATTTGGCAGTTGCTATTACCGAAGGAATTTCGCCGTCGCTAATTTTTCCACTATTACCCGTTTTTCTAGTAGTGTAAAAGTGTTTTAACAAGTTTAAAGTACGCTCTGTAGAGATGTTGTAATAAGTTTATAAGTGTTGTAAACTTGTAATAAGCATCACTTGAAACCCTAAAATACTAGAGATGATTGTGAAATATATTATATTTAATTCTTATTTTTGGCATGTTCTTCGCCCTATTTGTAATTCGAGAAACCATCTCCTTTGTTCGAACCAGATTGTTGAATGTCCGAATGCAAAAATTAGCAAGATCTTGAATTAATGAACTAGAATTTCGGGATGACGCACACGATCTTAGAGAGAGAAAGCTTAAAAGAGATTATAAGATTATTACAATTTTCCAAATTCGATTATGTCAAATCCCATTCTTACCCTCTCAATGTCTAATTTGATTTGAGACGAGTGTCAATTTTTTTCCTTTATTACAAGTTTCTATCTACTAGTTTACATTATTTTCATTTGCTAATTTGTCAAATATACACACATGTGACAACTATTGAGTTTGATGAGATGCATTGAAACACCATCTAGCAGCAATTTGCCATCAATCGCAAGCTCGATAAGTTAACTAGCGGCCCATATCATGCCATCAAAAAGCCATATAAGTCTATTCATTATTCGGTTTAAAGTGAAATGATCAAGATCAGTGATTGTAAGTTCCAAACGGTCCTATAAGTTTCTAAGTGACGACTAACTGAGGACTTCTATCTCTTCAAAGAATTGAACAAGTATTGAGATGTTATTTAATTCAAGTTATTCGGTTTTCAACTTTCTCCAAACAACCTGATAATCAATCAAATTAAGTTTTGTTTCTGTTAGTTAATTTCCCGTTATTCTTGTTGGTTAAATCAAATACCGCTCTTGAATTTTGATGCTTAAAAATCCCTTTATATTGAAATTTTGGTTTACAGGGAGATTTACGAATTTCTAAATTTCGGTTTTACAAGAAGATTACAAATTTCTCGATAAATTACGATTAGTATTATTGGAATAGGTAATTACGCACTTGCATTTGCTTTGATGGACAATTATTGTTATTACTACAACTTTAAACATCTTTTCCCATTATATATGCCAACAATTAGTTAGTTTGTTTTTAATATGAGTTAATATCGACTGAATAATTAAGTCATTTATGATGCCAACTTTCTTTAATTAGAAATTTTCTTTTTAGCGACGTTAAGTTGGTGACTTGGTACCGTATATGAGGTTTAAGCATTTATTTAAAGATTAAGCTTTATTGTATATGCTTTAAATACAAAGTCACTATTTTAATCTAATAATTATGAAACTATAATTTTAAAATAAATTTGTCGCTTACGTTCTTATATGAAAAA